GAAGGCGATTTAATTTTACTTTGGGAGACAAACCTCTTGATAATTCATTATTTTTGACGTCATTCCTTACTAGCTACTACCATTATTAAAGACTTGGCATCCTCTTAATGCCAGTTTATGTAGGCTATTTGAAATTTACCATCGTAGGAAACTTTAAACATTTAAGGGAATTTTTTCTCTTATAGCCAACTAAAACAACATAATAAAAAGTTTGAAGAAGAACGTGCTCGATGACAGGCCCCAATCACACGTCCTCTCTTAATTTGGCGATACTGAGACAGTTTGACCGTCTAGTGCCATCTGATGCTGGCCCACAACCGGGCACATTCTATAATTAGTGGTTAACTATTTCCTTGGTTTAGTGATTTTCCGTTATTGTTCGTAAATGATGACTTCTGGTTCTGATGGTGTCCGTCACATAATAGACCAAATCTCAGCACGAATTCAACCTGATCGCAGAACGGTAAGCCGAGGTCTTCTTTGCTCATTCCAACAATCAAAAGTCTAGGGCAATTCTCCTTCGGTATCTGGTGCTGCCAATTTAAGAATCATTTTCATCCGCTTTCTTAAACAAAATCAAAGGTATGCCAAAAATGAATAATTCAAGTAATGACCAAAACTCAAGCACGCAATCGGTTTATTAAAAAAATTCTTTTGGTTTTGAGGCACAGCAAAAAATAGATGGAGTCATACAAGCTTTCTACAGTCTGACAGCCCAACAAAGCATCCTGTCCTATCTGAAACGAATACATTCGATGAATACTGTAATATGAACAGGAAGTTTCCTGAAATATAAAATTCATTAATTAGCTAATCTCTATGGACCAGACCAAATGATATGAGCCGTGACTACCAAAGAGAGAAAGCAGGATCATTTGGTCTATCAATAAACTAGAAGATTTAGTTAAAGAGGAGGAAATAATTCCATGGGTCTCTTTATTTTCTGTTTATTGGTCTGTTAAACATATTGATTGTTGTCTTTTTGGATAGAAAATGAATCGTTCGTGCATTGGTTGGGCTGTATCATTTCTCTGGCCTCGGCTTACTCAGGATATCAACTTTCTCCCTTTTAGACCTATGGAGGCAAGCTGGTGTCATTCTAATGTATTATATAATTATGTTTTGAATTTGAGGTAATAGTTGTCTTGGTGTTCATTAATTCACCTGTAGTTCATCTGTCTTGGATCGGTCTTCCTATACTCCAGAGTTACCTTTCATTGCTGGTCCCTTTGATAAACTTGGATTAATACGGCTTCCAAGTCGACTACAACAAGGGGGTTAGGCAGTGTCGCAATGCAACGTATTACTTTGCATTTTTCTATATTATAACCGACCATATACTCTTTATGACTGGTATTTGAAGTCGTGACAACAATACATCTTTAGCGGTCAATGACTAAATCCTGTGTCATTATTATGAACACCAAAAGAACATTAACAAAGTCTGACAGCGTATAGTTAGCATCAGGGGCAGTACTAGTGCCTGATTACATGATCATGAGGGATTAGCCATACAAAAGATCTGAGTTGTTTAGTTCGGGCGCTATGTGTGTGTGTGTGAGTGCGCAGAGAAAGTGGTGTCCATCTTAGGTACTCAGGTAATGGTGCCACAATGGGTATGGCTACATAATGAATTAGGAACAATGAATGGATTTAAGTATAAACTTGGCTATCATGGATGGGTCTATAAGAGCACCTTTAAGAAAGCTGGGCACACTGAGATACTGGACTTTACACGCCTATAACCTGTGTTTTTGTTGGCTAAGTAACATAAGTCAACCCTTTAATACAAATTTATGAGATATATATGATCTAATGGTAGTCTCGAAAACCGACTAATAAACGAAACATAAATTTATCCAAATTTCCCGAGGGAAGAGGATCCAATGCCTACTTTTCGCCTGCGGACCACGATCCACCGGCTCGACGAGGCCACAGAGAGCAGCAAGACCCTGTCCAAGTCCACCACTGCCACCACCTCCTCCACCCTTGCCAGTGGTAGAACCAAACCCACCGATGATCAGCCGACGCTTAGCGCCCTGCCAACTGTCAGAAGTGGTCGTCGATGTACCAGTACCGGGATGGCTCAGACCTACTGAGCCCTGCTGGCCAGTCAGCTGACTGCCACAGCTGCCTGACAATCGACGTGGCAAAGAGGCAAAACTGGCTGGCCGGAGTTCGACGGAGACTCGGTCGTCTAGAAGAGTGGGAGAGCGATTTTGACGATAGATGCAAAGAGTAAAAACGACAGAAAAATAGGAATTGTAATGAGCTTGATATTTTGCTTTCGGTTCTGACCTCGATTTGTTTAGATGCACATAAGCCTACCTACAAAATAACGCCGACAATCGGTATTTCCTATGCAAGTATGGTTCTAAACAGGGCAGATGTGACTTTTAGAGCAAACCAGGTTTGTCCCAAATCACATTAATGGGATAAGCATTTATTTGTTATTAAAGCAATCACATTACTCAACTCCTATGCGATTAGTCTTTTGAAACTGTGACTACTTCTTGAATATGAACTATAGTCTCTCGATGTCGCTTGAGGTGATTTGAGGGTTGGTAGTAGGATATTTTTACAATGGAATATGTAGGCCTCACGATACGGTTGAATGAGATTGTGTTGAAGCCCATTATGCTTTGAAAGTCACATCTGTTCTATGACACATTTGCCATCATGGTTGTGTACGACCCGGTTTCGAGACTTGTTGGGGCTGTTGATTTGAACATATGACGAGGTCAAAAATGCCGTCCAACATGGATAAAAAAAACATTTTGGAGGGCAAGGCTGGGCGAACTTCATTGATATCGTAAAGCCAATGTATATACTTGTGAAGAAATTCCGCTATCAGTACTTAAATCACCTTCAATGATCCGGAGCAAATAAAGTTATTATGCAGAAAGGTAGATAAGAGACCGTTAAGCTGTCTACTTCATGTATTTTTTCGATGTTAGTGCATAATATACTCTCAAGCTAGAGCGATAAAGTAAGATTGTCATGGGCGGTGATCGCAGATACGCCTATTAAGCAATCGCTTGGCATATGAAATGCGGTTATTTTCTTAGCGCTTCCTGGCACCATTTTGGCATCTGAAGCGACAAAATGAACCAGCAATTTTCAGCTGTTTTCAAACAAAAAAGTGCTGGCTTTCGGTATGCGTCCTCAATATTTGACAAAGCCATTAGATTTCATTCGGCCCATTCCGTATGAAAAATCCCGTTATAGGACGGATGGGGATAAAGTTTGCAGATTCTCAATACCACTTAGGATAAGCATTAGACCACTCTAATAAATCTGAAAAGAAACAAAACATTATATGAAGATAATGGTGAGATTCAATTACTTTTACTGATGAAAGAACTGGTTACTGAATCGCCCAAAATGAAATGACTAGAAGGCGTCACATGTGTTTCACTGGATCACGAGGCAAATGTAATTCATGCCGTTCTTCACATTTTATACTCGGACTGGCGTCCACAAGGAGGGGAGTAATTTGATTTGCAAATCACATTTGCTATGTGGCGCAGTGACAATGGAGCTGTCTGGCTGAGGTGCAATATCAAGTTTTACTTAACGTGTAAAATTTGGCTTTGAAGCCTAATTGGGCCAGTGATGAGACTCATGAAAGGGAAAAACTACAGTTATAGTCTGAGAATTGATAATTGGAGAGGAATATGTCTAAATGAAAATTTAATGAGAAGAAAAGTAGGGTTTCGAGGAATCGCTTGCTTTGTAATTGTTGAGCTCGTTTACGTCTCGAGTGAAAGTGCTTGGTGAAGAGATTCAAAGGTTGATTTTATCAGAAGACGACGATGGATTCCTCTCGGCCAGTTGCCGATTGGCCTTAATAGAACATTCTTGTTGACGCTGTCTCCAAGACCAAGAGGAAACCGCCATCGTCTTCTGATGGTATCGACCTCAAAATCTTTTAACCAAACATTTTAACTTAAAGTGAAAGTGAGCTCAATAAAAAAAATTGAATGAAATGATCCTTCTTTCATTTAAGACAATTCAAATAGCATACACTTCGTAAATGAGTTAGAATGCAGCGACCCCAGCTCCAGTAGAATGCCCACCTATACAATAAAATAATACTTATTCTGTTCATTGTACATTTAAAAAGTACATTTCGTGACTTTCATACAGCTTAATTTTAGTAAAAATCATACTCAACGAGCATACATGTTTTATAATTCTAAACGTTTATAAATAGTCATAGGAAATGAATTGGGAAATTTCCAATAAGCCACAAATCATCTGATAGTTTAGTGATTTTCATCCTTAACGTTTCCTATTCTAAAAAGGAGGAAGATGTGTGCCAGTAAGTCAAACCGATTCTTCTTGTAGCTGAGCCCTAGGCTCGACGAGGTGTACCTCAATGACATTCTTGCTCAGTCCACTCTTCAAATTTCGCAACTTTTTAAGCATAAATTGTCCTAATTGATTAAAATACATAAAATAGCAAAACATGTAAATTACTTACCACCATATCTAGTCTTTAAACCATATAGAACTCGAAATATTAATATTACG